CAGTAATTAACTTGTTCATCATCTATTACAACGTAATAATTAGGGTTTAAGTTTTTTCTTTTTTAGCTAAAATAATGGCTCGAGGTAAGGGAAGTCGGTTGGGCTATATTTTTTCACCTAAGAATATAGAAGTCATCAAGTATTTAGTAGGATTTACGAGAGATGAACCACTACCCAACCAAAATCAATATATGGAGGTCGTTAATCTTTACGCGGAGAACGAACCGTGGCAGATTTTTGAAGGCACTAATAGCTACACACGTTACTTCATAACGCCCCAAAAGAAACAAAATCCGAAATGGAAAAGAGTTTCGCGAACTGTGGGGAAGGGTACGTGGAAGCCACAAGGAAAGGGAAAAGAGGTTTTTGACAATAAAGGTAGACTCATGGGGTACGTGAAAAGTTTGAAGTACACCTACGGCAAAAGTGATAACAAGAATGCCAATGGCGAGTGGCTAATGATGGAATACTATTTGAATGATGGTTATTTGGAGGCTAGAGAAATTAAGAACAAGGGTTATGTAATTTGTAAGATAAAGAAGAAGAGAAAACCCAATGATGATAACGAAAACGGAGTTAGCGATGAGAATATGAATGACATTGAAAAACTTATTGATTCATCTTTACAATTAGACAACGATATTAATGTGGAGGAAGACGACGTTGGGAATGAAGTACTTGCTATTTTGGACAAGGAAGACGATGGTGATCCTAATGTAGAATGCTTAGAGGGACATCCATAAGCTAATATTGATCTTGAAAACATTGACTTGTATTATAGAATTTATCAATTAGTATACTCTCATTTTTTCTTACATTTCTTGTAATATAATATACATCGTACCTATATTTTCCTTTTGTTTTCTCTATGCAATCAAGTAGATACAAAAAATTTGACTGATTCTTTTATTCCAACGTAATAAATCAAATCATCGACAAGAAGAGATGGAGCTACAACTCCTCGTGGACTAAAATCAGTCATATGAACATCTGAATGCTTTCAAGTTGATTAACAAGTTATAGTCTAATATAATACACCTGCTTCCAAATCAATTAACACCTTACCACTCACTCCGGTCCCCAGCAATGACAAATTAAAAATTAATTAATAGAGAGAACTAAAGTCATTTCCGATAAGAAAATATTGTTGTCGTTATAATAGTTAGCACAAAACCACATTTCTAGTAATCATAACGCATAAACAGGCTCTTAAACTTGTTGAGTTTTTTCCTCTTAAGTACCTCAACCACGCACCATCTGCCTGTTAATTCTTTGAACCACCCAGAATTTGTACGTACCTTTTAAACACTATTGGCTGACATGGCAAAAAACTTTAGCAAATATTTTTATTGATTGTGCACGTGAAATCTACCTTCCTCGCGTGGAAAGTGAAACCAATCAATTCTTAAATACATTCTTACATTAGCGCCACATGTGCATTTCCCAAACCGAAAAACCTAAAGCCTCTGCATTTTCCCAGCAAAACACTTCTGACTCAAAGTGCAGTGGTTCTAAACGAAAAAATCCTAGAAATTGGTCTTATTTTCAGTGACATTTATGCAAGTTACAACTAAAATTTTCAGATTTTGAAGTGATTTTGAGTGTTTTGTTGAAAGTATCATCGAAGATTGCAGACGACTTTAGAGTTCATTAATCACAATTTTGGAGTTTAACCTAGTGAGGTAAGTTCATTCCCTAATTTCTATTTAATTTGAATTAATTGTTGTAACGTGATATATAGTGCATTTTTACTAGGGAAAATTGTATATAAATAGCATACTATTAATTCAAATTAAATGTTATATATAAACATAGTTTTGTACCCCATAGTAAACTGTTGCTATTTCGCCTCTGGTGAATCTCGCTCGCCACTCTCGTTCTCAATGGCAGTCTCCCTTGCCTCTCTCGCTTTTATACAAACACTATAAAATGTGTTTGTGTTTGTATAAAGCGAGAGAAAATTGTATACATACATATATTTTCGTTTCTCTCTCTCCCCTCTCCCAGATCTCGCTCGCCACTCTCACTTGCCTCTCTCACTTTATACAAACACAAATGTATACATTGCGTTTGTGTTTGTATAAAGTGAGAGAAAATTGTATATACAAATACAAATTCATATATTTTCGTCCTATACACTTATGATTATACAAATACGATCTTCCCCTGCCCATTTTTCTTTTGTCTTTTTCTCTTTCCAGCTTTATACAAACACAAATTAATTATACAATTGATCTTTTGTATATGTATACCGAAACAGAAACAAATTAGACAACTGCTTTCTTTTGTATATGTATAGCGAAATATACATATTTATATTTGCTATGAAGCGCAATTATGCAAACAATAGCTATAGCATATAAATATGATTTTTATGTTTGCTATATGTGAAAGTTGTTCTTTTTACTATTATATTATTGTGATGGTGTGTGGTTAATATCTGGAAAAAGTTAGGGTTTTTTTTTGTTCTTATTATTCATAACGTGTCAGGAAATTTTGGGGCTTTGTTTCAAAGAATCTTATGGACAACATTATTATAACTCATTTTCATCATGATAGTGAATTTATTCAAGACAAAAAATGAGATTACTTATATTTGGGAAAACGAGGTGGAATATGTTAGTATCAATAAATATATCAGATAAGGGCTCTCCCAATCCCTGCTTTCTAATTGCTCTTGTTGAAACTCCCATCTAGTTTAGTTCACACAAAAAGATCTAACTTCTAACTATATATTGTAGCATTATGAAAATTTCTAAGCTAAGGCCTGAATCATTTTTCATTTGTGTGTAAGGTCGTATCAGGTATGACAAATAAATTATTCTTAGGTGTTGAGGTAAATTTTGTAGTGTTGAAATGGATTTGGATATGAATTAAGGTCACAAGCATCTCCTAGCACAAAGTTGAGTTGAAAGTTTCTTTACCGATTAAGTTTTGATATAAGAATCTACTTAAAGAAATGACTTTGTAGTTGAACTCAATGAAAAGTTGAGTGTTGTGGATGTTTTTGAACGTTTAAATTTTCCTTTTTTCGAGCAGTAAAAATGTTGTTATTTAATTTATTTGTTTAGTTATCAACATATAATAGACCCTTCTTAAAGTTTAAGAAAATTACTTATAAAAAAGTGTCAATATTTTTTTAAAAGAAAAATGTTGAAGGAAATTATTTATTAAAGAGTTTCAAGATAAACTTAACTATGTAATAAATTCTCCTTAATGGTGATCATATCTTTATACCTTTCTTTTATGTTCTCCAAGAAAATTTCAAAAATGTAGGACTTATTTTAAGATGAATATTTTAACCAGCCTTATTAAATACACATTCCTTCTATCCCAATTTAGAGACCTGTCATTCTATGCATTCAAAATAACTATCCAATTTGTAATGCAATTATCTATTCCCCTAGTCCTCTTTTCTCTGGTGGTTTCTCATTTATTATTCGATACTTATATTAAAAGAGCCGATTAATTTGAATTCAGCGATGCATATATATACATTTTACTAGATTTTTTCTCATATCCAATAAGCTTAAACTCGAAACCTTTATTTATCCTTTAATTAAAAAGGCAAAGAGGCTATATATTTCCTTCCCACCACAGGTTTGTGGTGGTTAAACAAAACTCATCAAACACCTATGAAGGCAACTCCAACAAAACAAATTAGTAAGGACGATTTAAGTTGTACCATATACACTTATTAGCAAGTACGATATCTTTGCAAAACCGAATTGATAAGTTTTTCAACGTCATCCATATTCTCATCCCACCGAACCAACTCATGACTTGAAAGCATATTGAGGAGGACAATCCACGTAGCTTTTTTTGACAAATGTCCTAAACAGTATACATTGCGTTTTTTTTAGTTCCTTTTTCTAGCCAGTGTACTGTAATGTTGAATGTGAATATGCCTTGTTTGCGTTATTCTCTTGAAGAAAGGTAAACAAACTAGAGTGTCACCGTACGTTGACGTTAGCTAACATGATGGTGATCATAATGTAGGGACATCCATATGATGTCGATCTTGACGATATAGACTTTGTATTATAGAATTTATCAATTAGTATTCTCTCAAGTTTCATACGTTTCTTGTAATTAGCTAATAATTGATCATGGGAAACTGATGCCATTATAGTATATATCGTCCTTTATTTCCTTTTTGTTTTGTCTATGCAATCAACTTCATACAAATATTTTGATTGTTTCTTGTCTTCCAACATCTAATAAATCAAATTCTACTTTCTTAAGCCGTTAAACGAAAAATAAAAATATAAAGTGTATATAGGTTTATTTTACACGACTATCTAAGTTAATCATGACTTGAATCCTCATCGTCAATGACAAGTGTGAATGAAAGTGTAGCTTCATTCATATTTTATTATCGCAAACTGGTTGATTAACTAGTGTTACCATATAGCTCAACTTATCATAAGAAACATCAATGAATATGAAATAAACATCTCATTGCAAGATTCGTCAACAAAAACTACAGATATTCTGTCATTATACACTTCCTAACAACCATCATACAATATTTATGATCCAGCAAAAGTAGTCAGCAATATTTTATGTTAGTAACAATTTCTAAATTAAAAGCTTCCAAACAATATTCATTAGATATACACACTCAGCTAATATTATCTAGAAAATATAGACATTGTAATACAGAATTTATCAATTAATATACTCTCAATTTCTCTTACCTTAATTGTAATATAATATATATCGTACCTTTATTTTCTTTTTGTTTTGTCTATGCAATCAACTTCATACAAATATTTTGACTGTTTCTTGTCTTCCAACATCTATTAAATCAAATTTTACTTTCTTAAACCGTTAACTAAAAAGTAAAATATAAAGTGTATGTAGGTTTATTTTACACGACTAAGTTCATCGCTAAATACTCATGAAAGCATAGCTTCATCACTCTGAGGACAGGTAACCGATCATGTTTCATTATCACAAACTGGTTGATTAACAAGAAGTTAGTGTTACCATAAAGCTCAACAGAAACATCAATGAATAGAAAAAGTTACAAACAGAAAGGTAAACCGTCAATAACAAATAAAGAGAGAGGCACACAAGTCAGAAGTAAGCAAATGGCAACACTAACTTGCAATCTAGCATTACCAAGTTCAAAAATAAAGGAGCAGCTCATTATAACCCTCTTTACTTAGCGCACCAGGGTGAGAAAGTACATTATTGCTCCAGCTCCCCAAAAATCATCACACGTCTTCATTTTGGGCTGATCGAATAAAGATAAAATCGTAAGCACCAATTCTACCAGGTGTGTCTAGAAAGACTTCCTGACACTACTTTAGTGACCAAACAAAGAGAATATGAAATAAACATCTCATTGCAAGATTCATCAGCAAAATCTACAGATATCCTGTCATTATACACCCCTAACAACCATCATACATTATTTCTGATCCAGCAAAAGTAGTCAACAAAATTTTATGCAAGTAACAATTTCTAAATTGAAAGCTTCCAAACATAAATGAATCCAATTCAGTCCTCTAAGCTTCTCCTTCTTCATCTAGTCTTGTCAACGCCTACAACAGGAAGAATGAAGCATCCAACACTTAATCAAAGTGACATAAGAACCGGAAAGTACGTGATGGGCAACACCAAAAATGAAGAGAATGCAAGAGACTACTGACAATCACTCTTGCCTTTGACATAACTAAACTATGGAATGAAATTGTTTCAAGGGTATTTCAAAGGAGGCTCCATATATCATGCTCAGTAGCAAAATATTTATTCAAAACTATAAATAGAAGGTCCATGTTAAATTTCGGATATGTCCAAGACACACTAAAGAGAAATACTTGATTGACTTACCAAAGTAGTAAATGAGGAAAAGACATCAAATGAGGGTCCTATAGGTCTTGCTAGATACCTATATCAAAAACGAAAACTCGTCGGTCAGAGAAATATAAAAGATGGATACACAGAAACCACAAAATCTTGCCAAATGGTTAGGTTTATAGGAAAAGAAAGGAAAAGGGAGCTAGACATCAAGAGGAGAAAGTATATGCAATGATGTATTACGCGATAGGTCACTCAACTTATATTGGCTTATTCATTCAGGTGGAAAAGAATGATTTCAAGTCTAGTTGAAATCGAATCATCGGCAATATTGAAGGTTGTTGTCAGCAAAGGTGCTAGTCACCTAGTTAATAGTTTCAAGCACCTTGAAATCATGGAAAATTCAGCCAGTACAGGACGTTTCAATGAAGAAGAGAGCTACAACTCCTCCTGGACTAAAAACAGTGATATGAACATCTTCAGCTAATTACTAGATTGATACTCACAGGCGAGTTACAGCTTATATATTCTAATAATACACCTACTTCCAAATTAACACCACTCACTCCCCCAGCAATGACAAAATTAAAAGAGCAAATAGAGAGAACTAAAGATAAAAAGCGTGAACCCCAGAAGTACAGATAAATTTGATCCTTTCAGAACCACTTGTTGTAAAAATTGATCACATGCAATCACAGCAAAGCTGACAACATCTTTGTTCCCCGTGAGAGGGGAAAAGATGCCATTTCAAATTTCTACATACATATGTAAGTCTCGCAAAGTATGGCAGATCTAAACCCAAATAAAAGAGAACTGTGGTAAGACAACTAACATAATAATAGTTGGCCTCCAGGGCTTTGGTCTTTAAGTAAAAGACAATCACATGACGCGCACACATCAATGCCACAGACAAAAGGATGGTTTTAAGTGAAAAGTACAGGAGCAGGGGCCATTACCCATAGTGTTTCGACCATGCCTCAGAAATTTCTCGATTATAAAAGAAAAAATAACAGTCTGACTACAATGAATCACTGAATATTGATTCTACAAATCGAGCGGAACAAAACAATAGATCCATAAAACAAATTTTGGAATTAAAGCATAGTTAATACTTAATTGATTGATTACTCCAATCTGGATCAGTTAATAACTAATTTTGCACAACTCTCAAACATTTGCATGAACATACTAATGAGGCACTACATTTTATAGCTGATTCGTTTAACAATAAAATTATCAGTTCTAATTAATTAACTAAATACAAACAGAAATCAAACTAATCAATAACATAGCTCAATGAGAGAATAACAGAGTGAAAAATCACCTTCTGAGAGCCAACTGTAACTACGGAGAGAGTCAGTAAGCATAGAAGTCATCAAAGCTGAAGCAGTGACGGTGTGGTATGGTTGCAGCGACTCCAAACAAGCGCTCATCTCAGAAGGACACCTTTTTGAATTGCATAAATTGTTCAGTCACATATAATGAAATTGAAAATTCGAGAAACTGCTAGTAAAAAAAAAAAGAGTACCTGAAGATGCGATGAGATAGAGGACTTTTAGAAGGCGTGCGCAAGGGAGATCGAGCTGCTTTAGCCTCCGATGCGATCCTTGATGCGGCATTGCGCAGGGACGGTGACCGGAAAATGGATCTAGCGGCGGCGATGGCCATGGAAAAGGAGAATCGTTCAGGATGTATGCTAATGGAGAAAAGATTTACTGTTGAAATGAAATTACAGGGTTTTGGGCTAAACCCTAGGGGAATGCTTGGCTTGGCTGCCCCTTCGAGTCGGCTTACTTTGGAGGAGTGCAAAAATAGCCAATTTCAGGATCCTATTTAAGGTATAGCCAAAGTTTATAAATTCTTATATAGAGAAGTATTTCGCCTTGCAAAAAAAATCACTTTTTCACTATAAATTACTCATAAAAAATATAAAACACAATCTCAATTTTATTAGCCAACTTTCAAATATCATTTTTCAATTTGAAAATAAAAATTAATTTTCAAATTTCATAATGAAAGATAGTTAAACACCCACTTATTTAACCGTGTTATTAATTTAGACTCACGAGTTTGAAGTTCTTAAAAATTTCTATTGAAGTAAGGCTCGCTTAAAGCCCTTGATTCCAACAATTTGAAAGTAAGCATAGTTTAGGTATTTTTCTTTAGCTTGACCATCTCAAATTTTAATATCCGTGTATCTGAAGTTTGAACTACCAAATCTAACTTCGAATTTATCATCCAAGTATGATTTACAAACCATAAAATGAAAGCAAAAATACACAAACTTTTCAGATGTTCAGCAAACGTTTCCAAAGATAAGTATTCACAATTTAGCTCACGAATCTAGTTGGCAAATGCATTCACGTAAAGTTTAACCAGAGTCTGTTAGAATCTGCATTTTTTTTTATCACTATTTGAAAGAGCAAAGGCAATTTTTTTAGCAGGAAGCAGCAACATAATTTTAACATAAGTAACCACCACTATATCTCGATAACGACATGAAATGATGGAACTTTCAATTCTTCCCTCTGATAAAATAAATATACTATCTTATAGGCCTGCTAACAACTGTGAAAATAGGTAATAACTTTCTAAACGGTTCAAATTGGCCTGGCTAACATGCATCAGCAGATCAAGACAGCCACACTTATCATTCAACTTCTCGGACAATTCTTTTTGTTCGCAGTTGCTTATTCTTAATGCTTCCAGGGGCACTGTGAGCTTTCCTCCTCTCCTCTTTCCGCCTCGCAGATTCTGTCATCTCGCGTATTTGTCTACTTGCCTTGTAGATTGGTTTTGGTAAGTGTCTGTGTCTGTAAAATCACAATAAAGGAGAGTGAAGATTAATCTCTTTTGGGCTCACTGGGAATCTTTTGAGATATTCGACAGGAATGCAAAGTAACAAATATATGCACACAGAATTAACAATGGTAATCATCATCTTCTGAAATTCTCACTTTAGCTTTAAGCCTTTAACCATGCAGAGCTTATGTTCAGGCTTGAGTTAGCATAATATAGGTCTCAGTGTAACAAGCTTTTGGCACTGGATGGACATGGCATGATCTTACAGGCCAGTTAACAAGATGACCAACTACAATTTGGTACCAATGGCCTAAGGCCCTAAGACAAGAATCTTAGACATAGATGAACTGTTACCTGTCAATGCGCCTGACTTCAGGAAGATGCTTGTAACGATTCTTGACAGCCTCCATATATTCATGTCTTTTCCGCTCTCTTGGCAAAACCTGCAAGGACACAATTTTCAGATTTTATATTCAGATGGATGTGAAGAAAAACAGAAACAGAATTACAGAACAATCAAGGAAGCTAACATTAAATAGCTTTCTTTCCCATTTTCTTCCAAAACAACAGTACAACATTCGCCCTCCAGAAAAAGTTAGGAACAGATTATTTTGTTCATTATTGAAGGCAATAGTACTGTGATGCACATAAAGAAGCTTCAAAGTGAAGAAGGTGGAGACAATTGTTAGTTGTTCTAAATATTGTCGCAAACCAAACTTTCAAGAAAATTTTTTGGGACGATAAGAAAACAATACCTAAAGAACTCAATATATAGGCAACACAACATATCAAAAAGTCATTCTTGCAAGAAAAGTTCTAAGACAATCGTATTTTTTTTTTTCCTTTTGCACAACAGTTCCTGCACAATCAAATGTTAATCATTTCATAAGTTATATCTTTCTCCCCGTTCCTTTCTAAACATTTTGTTTATCTGACAGGGATTTATCTACCTTCACGTTTGGGTGTTTTAAGAATTTCCTTTTCATCTATGCACTAACAACTCTCTCTTTCCCTTCTTTTCCTTTTTTAATACTCATCACACTCTTTAACTTATGTAACAATTTCAATGAAAAACTAGAAAGTTTTTTCAAGTTTGGAATCTCGTGTCTAAGAGTTCTACTGAAGAAATGTAAATCTTTCCTTTGTTTCCAATAACTAAAACCCGAAATCTCACCATGCTAAGCATCCCAAGAAACTAAAATGGATGGGGTATAAAAACTTATGACCTCTTGATCATCATCTTTTTATAATCTTAACGACGTGTTGAAACCAAATCCACAATTAAAGAGGAACAAGGGATAGATATGTTAAGGAAAAATCAGAAAGATTCAAACCCATAATGCATCTAAACAAAGAAAGGAAACATGTATACAAGTTCCCAGTAAATAGGATATAAACCAAAAGAATCAAGTAGTGTAGGTACATACAACTCCCATTTGCTCAGATGCTTTTGCTTTCCATAGACGTAGGTTGGTATCATCACTTCCTGAGATAATATAACTTGCATCGCAACTGAACTTGACACAGAATACCCTGAGTTGATGACAGATGTCAGGAAAACACATTCACTTGATAGTGCAAGTACTATAAGCAGCCAAGACTGTAAATTATTGTTGGGGATAACTAAAATAAACAGAAAAGATGCTTCTTCATCAAGATATGGAGTGAAACCTCTGCATCCTCTTAGCGTGATAAATTTCCCTGCTGTGACCACCATTATATTTGAAAATTCTCACCTACAAAGGATGGTAATTCAGTCAAAGTGCTGAGACACTAGGTGAACAAATAAACTTGACAGGAACTTACAGATCTATCATAAGATCCAGTAACAAATTCTCGACCGGTTGGTGAATAATCTATATCCATCCTGCAAATAAACCCCTAATATTAGCAACAAACTCTGCTTGTCGAATACAACACATGAACTGCACTAAATGAAAGAGTTGATGCCTTACACTGAAGAGGTATGATCTATATGCACACATTTGGCTTCATTTAACTTTCTAACATCATAACTGTAGCATCTTCCATCATCATTAGCCTATACCAACGAGACATGTGAGGAGTAATAGCAAAGAAATCACCTAACATATAAATTCATGCTGGAAAGTGAAAACAACCACTAACGAATAAAAAAATCAACACCATGTGACACTCTAGCATAGCAACATTTTACACAAGGGCAGTGAGTCCATGATAGAGCTACACTACTCTACTTGAGCTTCACAAACTTCTAGCAATAATGTTTGGGTGGTGTTAGAAGCGTAACTAGGCAATTCTCACTAAGGAAAGACCTTCCAAGGAACCATTCACCTTTTGGTCCTATCTAAGTTTGCAAGTTTCCATCCATATTTTTTTTTTTTTGAGAATAAGAAAAAATAAAATCTATCCATATTTAAGATGATTAAATTCTACATTCAAATTATAACAATCAAAACTGTTTTAGCAATCGGAAAAGGACTGGAAGCAGGCTACTATTATCCACCTTACTCCATGTTAAAGTTTAAAACATCATCAAATTTTGGATATATACATTTCAATTTAAGATTTATGCTTCAAGTTCTCACAGAATTCACTAGAGACGTAGAAGGACTCTCTAATTTCTTTTAGTTACCTTTAACCAAAATTTCTGAATATTATAAAGGTATAGGTTACAGATTTTGGACAAAGAAAAAACAGGATTAATTTTTTTCACAAAAAGAGCCTAATCCCCCCACCCACCCATGAATCAGATCGCATAGTACCTTACCCAAAAACAGAACAAAAAATCAAAATCACATTTAAGTGGGATGTGACCTGCCACCTATAATCTACATTCAGGTTACAGGTAGCAACATAATATCAGAACAAAACCATTTCTTGGTAGCAGGAATCAGGAAGGGTGATAAAGGAACTGAAAGCAAAAATATCATGACTAGAATTATGAGAGAACAACGCAAGATACAGGAAAGGAGAACAAAGTTCTCATGTTGCACTCACGGCAGTAAAATTCATTGGCTCCATCGGATTCCATGCTATAGAATTAGTTTTTGTCTGCAAAAAGAGATATTAATTCAGAAATGAACTATTTTGAAAGAATACACAGCAGATAAATATCAAAAGTTGTAATCAAAGATACTAAGGCTTCCCTCTTCCCATCCCTAATATAGGAGATTATTTATCTTTTCTCTATAAAAGATGTTGTCAGTACAATTGTCCTAAAATGAGAAAAACAAGAAAAATGGCAAGGTCACCAGCACTTGCAGTGATAAGGGATGAGGTAAGTGCAAACTTGTTAGTTTGCTTATTGATTTGTAACATGGGCTTCTTTGTAACATCAGCTGAATTACTCAAGAGAGGTCCCAGCGGTTCTTTTAACATGACCACTGAACCTAAAAACAAGTCAATAACTCAAAATATGTTCAAAGCCTAAAAGAAATGGAAGGCCACAAAACTCACACATTATAAAAATAAGTAGCTTATGGGTCAGCATTTAACCAAAACAAGACCATGCAACCATTAGCAGTAATTTTCACAGAGACAATCGTGCTGCTTACCGCCATAATAACCTTTCTAGCTGGTGTAGAAAGCCGTAAATCATAGATGCTTATGCTTCGATCACTGCAAGAAAGATCAAATACCACATATCAGTAGCTGCAGGGCAAAAATCGGATTACACTTGGAAATTTGCAAGCATCAATTCTAATGTAGTAACTGAGCCGCTACTGAATTACAATAACATGCATGGCATCTGCTATTCTAAAAGACCATTCACGAGTACTATCAAAAGAGCAAAAAGCACGAACTAATCAAGTGTTTGAAGCAAAATTATTCTTCAAAACAACTTTACAGGTGCAATATTTTATGGATTTTTCCATAAAAATTGGGAAGATTTCGTGTATTTTCACTAATTAATATTTTTAAGTTTGATTTGACACTCAAAGAAGCCGCAACTGCTGTGTAAATGTTTGTCCAAGACATTAGCAACCCAGATGCACATAATAGTGAATTTTCAAAAGGC